ACAAAAAAACCCTCCTTGGCACACCATGGCTTCAAAGAACCTCTGTGGACAAATCTTCTCTAATTACAACCTCTTCATCCCATATCTTGTCTTTTTTCGGACGATCATCTTTATTCAACTTCTCTTCCTTTCTTCTCCTTTCAAACTCCTCAAAAGCCTTTCTAGAAAACTCCTCAATAGTCAATACCCCAACAAAACAGACCTAGGCTCTTCCCAATTGCCACCTCTCTGTCCACCATTTTTTGGAGGGCCCCTTCACCTGACTCCCTGACATTACTGTTTTCCTTTTGCATTGTCTGTCTCACCTCAGGAGCGGATTCACCTCCACGCAAAGTGTTTTCCTGATGCTCTTTCGGCAGTAGGGAGATTGAAGACTGATATTGTCTCGGCGTCCCCCTATGATCTATACCATACGTCCCATTATCTCTCAATCCTTTTCTCCTGTAAACCCATCTGAAATGTTTTGTAGGGCCTGCTCCTGTCAGGCCCAATTTCAGCCTAGTGAAAACCTTGGTCACATGCACAACATTATGATTTCTTGAACTGCGCACTTTCTTTATTGTTATTTCGTTGGATTGATATCCCTGCTCTTCAGGGTTTCTCTTTCTACCCAAATCAACACCCAATTTTCTGATCTTCACCTCCACATATTGCCGAACATCCTCATTGTGGCAATCAAATTGGTATCTGGTCTCCTCATGTATGCCTAAAAAGACCTCACCTTCCATCTCCTCTTCAGCTTCTACTCCAGCACCAGCCCTGGCATTCTGAACCTCCAACATTGGATCATCCTTGTAGACTTCAAGGAGTTGGTAGGTCACCTTCCTTGTATCTCTCTCTTTTTCCTTTTAATAAATTTTTATTTTATTACCAAAACATAAAACATTCTCTAGTCCGAGCATGGTCTGTGAAAGGCTTCATTAGAAGAAGCCACACCCCATGGAATCTAAAACCATTTTCTACATTTTGGAATTTATGGAATAGGCAGATTTTTTGAACAAGAACCTTCAAGAATGGGAATGATAAGGAAAGCAGAATAGATGAATTTTCTGGTGGGCATCATCCTAACAGATATTACCAGATTATCTTTTTTTTATCAATTATTACCAGATTATCTTTCTAAACTTTGTAATGGACTAATTGCTGACAAAGCATTTTTAATATATAAATTTTATACACACACAAATAACCTTGTAGATGGGGCTTTTTCCCCTCTTCCACAAATATTAATACAATCTTCATCCTTACCTATAAAAAGAAAATAAGAGTTGCAAATTCCAGACTCGGATTTTCCACCATCTTTGTTTCTATTTTTAAATTCTTAATAAGGTAGGGTTAAATGCATAATAGTTGAGACAAGGACATGGCACTGAACAGAGTGGAGTGGCAGAACAGGGTCCATGTAGCCTACCCTATATAGTTGGGACAAGGCTTAGTTGAGATAAAATCTTATAAATTTGTTACATGTATTCCAAAGCAATGCCCACTTTGGTGGTTAACCACAATTAACCAACACTAGAACAATTGATATAAAGCATTGCACAATATGATAGTTTGAATTGGAACAGTGTATTGCAGACATCATAAATTCAGTGAGATGGACACTTTGAATTGCTGGACATAACTGAGCATTGAGATGCATAAGTTTTCCAGATGACCTGTCTAGACAGAAACACCCTTCACCGATAAAAAGTTAAAAACAACTCTTAATAAACCCCAAATAAATAGATAAATTAAATAATATGCATTTAATTTGATATAACCTCTTAAAGCATATCCAGTCAAAATAACGTGTAATGAAATTTGCATCCAAGTCTTGCCTTATTAGATCTTTTTTTATCAACATAAAATATATTTATTTTATTATATTCAATTAAAGAAGCAGTTAATACAGCTTGATGACAGGAACGTCATCCCCAATTTTCAAACCCTAGTTACATAGAAGCCCAAAACAATTGTTGCCTCATTACTCCTTGTTTGGCAAGGGAATCAACTAACCCATTTGCACTTCTTCTAACCCACTTAAATTTAGCCTCTATATCCTTAGCAATCTTTTCCACTTCCCTTGTCACATATTTTAGAGTCCAGGGAGTACACATGTTTTGGTTTGCCCATGAGACAACAATTTTTGAATCCCCTTCCACCTCAACCCGTCTGAAACCCAACTGCTTTGCTAACCGGAGACCTTGTAGTAGTGCTAACAGTTCAGCCTTCAAGGAATTTCACAGACCGATTGGCCCTGAAAATAAGGCCAAAATTATCCTTTCAAAATTTCTGCTTACTCCTCCTATTCCTGCCATCCCTGGATTTCCAATTGAGTTCCCATCATTTTTTTTTATCGATAACAGATTTCATTAAATAGGAATAAGCTTACAAAGTAGAGGAGCTAAAGTATCTTAACTCCCCAAGAAAGTGGGCAGGCACCCAAAAAGAAAAAACAATTACAGCTGAGCCCAGAAATCAGAATCCCTATTCACCCCTTGCCTAGCTAATCCATCAGCAAAGGAGTTTGCATTTCTCATTAAAATTCAACTTGACTTTATTGCTTTCTGGGGGTTTCTAGTCCACTCTTACTCTTATCTTTTCTCTCCATGACTATGCTATTTTAGTCTAGACTCTTTGAATGTCAGTGACTAATAATCTATGGAAGCTATCCAATGTCTTTACCCATAATGCCACCTTTAACTTTATACTATCACTTCTTCCAGAGTTCTGATTTTTTAAGAGAAGATCCTATTATTCCTTTCTTCCCAAACCACCCAACAAATTACTGCTTTAGTGGCTCTCCAAAGCATCTTCCCTCTCTTCTTTGATTGCCTCAAGAAGTTAGGATTAAACAATCCCACCACATCTTGAAGGGGTCCCACTTGCACCCAAAAAGAGAACAAAAAAACTCCCAAATTTGAAACACAAAGGGACAGGAAATTAATAAATGAGATAGGGTCTCACGACTGCCCCTACATAAGAAACACCGGTGAGGAGAAAGACAGGCATAAGGCCATCTTCTCTGTATCATGTTACAAGTGTTTACCTTACCAAGGAAAGTTTTTTTTTTTTTTGATGAATGAAGAAATTTATTAATTCAGAAAAAACACCACTGAAGAGGCATGAGCTGTTACCTCTTCAGAAAAGTATTGCATCAAAATAAAACAGAATTAACCATAAATAAAATTACAAAGCAGCCCAAAATTGCTGCTCCCTTGTAGCCCCCTGCTTAGCTAACCCATCCACTAAGATGTTTGCTGATCTTCCCACCCATAGAGAGGTAACAGTCATATTTCTTGTAAGCCAGTTTACTCTCCTTAATAAATCTCTGTGTTGCCACATGGCCGAAGCTGGGTCTTTCAACCACCCCACCACAATTTGAGAGTCTCCTTCAACTACCAAGTGCTGAACCCCTAATTGTTCTGCAATCTGAATACCTTGTACCGCTGCTAAAATCTCAGCTCTATTAGAGTTTCCTATTCCCACGGGGCCTGAGAACAAGGAAAGTTTCCCAGCAAAAAGCTTGAACTTTAGGTGGAATAGGGTTACTCCAAATTTCTTTCATGGGGAAGTCCACCCCTTGAGGATTAGGTGAAGCAACGATTTTGAAAAAGGAGGAACAAGTGAAGAGACCATCTGGTGATACTGACCAAATTCTAGAATCCTCAAGGGAAGGGTCAAGAAACACTTGCCTTATTAGACTTATTACTCTCTCCACAACTAATAATCAAGTCCAAATTTATAATGTGATATCATGCTACGAAACTTACTTTCAATTATGTGCTTGCCTTTATCTATCTTTTCAATGTACCATAATACATTAATACCTTATGTGCTTCAAGAAGTGAAATAATAAAATAATAATATGGGCTCACTTAGAAAAGATGGTAAGACTATGGAGAAACAGACACATGCCATAAAGTAATGGCAGGATGCAGCCCTAAACACCTATATAGAAACTTGTTGGTGATCTGAGTTATATATGTATAATTATTGAAGATTACAGGTAAACCAATAACTCCTGTTGTAAACTGAGTAACCTTCATATAGATGGCGAGTGTCCATTCCATCCATGTCATGGGTTCACATACTTGCAAATAACTGTGGTTCTTACATGGGATTGGTGGGCAATGGAACCATGACTATGGCACTCAATTCACACTTATTTATTAGACCTTGTCTTATTATACAGAAAATACATTTTAAACTCCAAGGAAGAATCTCATATTGACACTCCTAACCCATTTAGTAGCATTTTAGTTTTAAACCCCATCAAATCTGTGGTGTAATCCATTTTTCACTATTCCCCATCCAAAAACTCATAATTTTATGGACTAATCAAATTAACAACAGAAATGGTTGAACTCATTTCCAAGAGGTTTAATATAGAGAAAATAGAATAAATATAATTACATATTAGCACCATTGGAACAAAAAAAATGACACAGCTTTTCAAATTTTAATAGGTTTGTTATTTTGCGAATGGTTAATAATACAAAGCCTGTGTATTAAGTATTTTTCCCTTCTTTGCCATGGAATTGTGTCAATGGTTTGGCATATGGAAACGGAGCTAGTTATAGAAAACCTAAACCAACTGAAATTCAAAACAGTCAATTGTTGATGAAAAAACTGCACCAGTGTCATGTTATCTTTGAGCCTTAGAATAGACTCAACCGTTTTACAATATAAAAAAAAAAAAAAAATCACAGCCAGTACAACTCTCATAACGCAGATTTGACCAATTGTATGCATGGCACTGAACAGAGTGGAATGGGAATCAGGATTCATGTAGCCGTGGCTTCATATAGTTGGGAAAGACTGCTTTGAGTTGAGTTGAGATGAATATCAGATAATGTCTTTCAAATAAACAAATAATTCTTCATCAACTAGTCCTAAAGATGTACTCCTGCTCTGGATTTTCTTTCTTTTTCTTCTTTCTCGATAGAACTAATAAAGATGTGTCCATAAAACAAAGCATAGATGGAAAAGCAAGAAGTAATCAAAGTAAAGCATACCTTCATCCTCATCAAGAGAGGCTTCATCATCGTCATTAATCTCTATTGTTTCTATTCCCGCGTTATCATTCTCCAAAGCTTCAAGACGAGCAAGAGCTGCCTGGTGAACATAATTCCAATAAACAACCCACATTAAAATACCCAAAACTTAAGTTACATGTCAAGCATTCTTTAAAAATTCAAGTTTTAGTAACTTCAATGGAGCCAAAAAAGCAAACCTGCGTACGATTGTCGCTGCTTGCAAGGGCAGCAACCATCTTCGCTGCGACCTTTCTAGTTCGGGTCGAAGTCCGACGAAACAAACCTGATGCTTCATCCTCCATGGCTGAAAAGAGCTTGAATCATAAGATACACCTAGAGAACTCATCGATAATTCAGGAATTCAAAGAAATACAAACAAAATACAAAGAAGACAGAAACTTAAAAACTAGTACCTCCGGAGAATGGAGATATTGATCGATCGAGAATGGAGCCTAGAAATACTGAATAAATTCGAGGAGATATCAACTTCTCTTGACTAAAAAAATCAAAAACGAAAAAGAAAAAAATGGATCAAATGCAGAGTAGGATTTAAGTTTTGACGAGATAGTCAGAACTCTCGGAGCGGATATGAATCGCGTTTTTCGTAGGCAACAAAAAGAAATACGGGAGCGGGAGCGGGAGAAGGAGCGGGAGAAGGAGATCCTAGCGGTATAAATCCCAAATATTTTTGGCTTCGAGAATTTCGCGAGGGTCCCGCACTGACTGAATCCGGTTTCGGGTCTCGATGCCAAAATGAGATCACATCTGCGCCCCACAAACGCTCCGCATGCACATCTCAGCGTGCATTGAGAATATCTCCCGAAGTTGTCAGTGGAAGATGTTTCAATACACGGTTGAGATATTCTGTGGTTCGCCCTCCGTGGGGCGCAGATGTGAATTCGCCAAAATCCCTTTATCTACCTCACGTCACGTTGGCGGGAATCAACGGCCAACAAAAAATACGGTTTATATTTGCTTTACCCAAATTAATAATATTTTCTTTTCTGTAACTGTCACCGTCGAGTTGCACTTGGACGGTGGGAGAGTTGATATATTGCTGTTACGCTGTAGATAACTGGGCGAATTCGTTCCATATTGTGGAGTTTTTTACACAGCTGAGGTAAGGCTATTTTATTCTTCATGAATCAAATGCTTTGCACCAGTTTGTTTCCTCATTTTTGAAGAATTCATTTGTGGGTTCGTCGTATAGATACCTAGCAGTCTCTCGCTTATTATTTATATGGTTTTTGGAGAAAATCCAGTATGAGAATTAGGGTTTTATTTCTATTAGGGTCGAAATGAAAGATACCCCGTATGTGCCTCTGATTTTTTCTTGCATTAAATTGAATTTTGATCTGATGCAATGTGGACTTATTACTAAATGAGAACCGAGACTCGAGAGAAAACTAGTAATTGAACATTTACTTGACTCCCGAGTTTTCCCATTTCTTGATCATGGGTTTCGATCTTTTTATTTATGCTCTTCTGTTTCAAACGCCAAATTGATGGACGACTAATATCAGAAAGCTGGATTTTTGTGAAGAGAGGATGACTTTCTTTGTTTTCCCGTATTCAATATCAATGGATGGGATTTTTCATTTTGCCTCAAGCAATGATGATGTCGTTCTGGGATCATTTGACTTCAGGCCTCTATGATGGACTCAAGGGATGGATTGCAAGGTCCACATAGAACACTGGATACAGACATCGAATCCTTTTTCAACTCAGCTCCACCTCTGAAAGATAGTCTCGACATTGGTAGAAAATTAAAGGAATTTATAGACCGGCACTCTTTTTCATCAGGCAAGTACAATTTTGTTTTATTAGCTAAAGAAATATTTTAGTGAAGAAGTGATTAAGGATTTCTGTCTTCGTTCTCCATTTCCCATGAATTTTAATCTGATTTAGTTGAGCTTATTTACAGGAAATAAAGGACCCAGCAGGATTGTGTGTGTGTCATCTGGTGGTACGACTGTCCCTCTAGAGCAGCGGTGTGTAAGGTATATTGATAACTTCAGCTCAGGACATCGAGGAGCGGCATCTACTGAGTAAGTTCATATTTTCCCTGACCATAAAAGTTCGCATTGAAAATGTGCAAACTTCAAAACAATTTTGACAAGATGGACTTGTGGGTAAACTTTTTAGGTACTTTGTGAAGGCTGGATATGCAGTTGTCTTTCTTCACCGACGGTGAGTCTTCTGCTGATATTATGTTTTCTGTCAATGCTAAAAAGGTGCACTTGGTCCAAGAGAATGTTTTTTTCCTTCTTGCTGTGATTTCATCAATAATACCAGACATGCATCTTTGTATAGTGGAACCTGCCAGCCCTACTGTAGATCTCTTCCTGAGAATTCACTCCTCGAATGTTTTGAACTTACAGAAGAATCTTCTGTTCAAGGTCTTGAATTCTGCTAATCACACTTTTTTATTTGGTTTGTGGAGGGGGTACTAGTTAATATTTGAAGTCAGATTCATCATTTCCCTCCATAAGATAAATCATATTGTTATTGTAGGGAGGGGAAATGATGAATCTTACTTTTTGGTTTTTTTCAGCAACTTATATCCTTTATCAATTTTCACATTATTTGTCTTACTAGTTTTAATGGTTCTCATTTTCTCATTGGAATTCTGATGGTATTCCAGTGCGTCAGTCACATTCTGAGGCAGTGAAGAGAGCAATCAGACATCATCACACTGTATGAATCATCTATAAATCATGTTATTTATTGTTTTCAATTTTGTAGCTTTCATTTGGACTTTTGAGATGTCTCAGTCCACCAATCACATTTTTCTGGCAAGTTCTGTGCAATGCTGAGAAACCACAACATACTCTTTCATTGCAGGCAACAGAAAAGGGACTCTTACTGAAACTTCCCTTCACCTCTATATTTGAGTATCTTCAGGTTAGATTGACTTCATATCTGTTTTAATTACAATGATATAAGAATTTTGCATATTTTCTCTTCCTATAATTTCTAGCATCTCTTTTGTGTGCATGATTAATTTGTTCATGGACTTAAATTCTTATTATCAAATCTTTGCATGGGGCTCTCTGTATATCAATAAGAACCGTTCCAGAAAAGGTGGTACTCCTGGTCTGACAGCCAAAATATTTGAAAATTTGGATTCGTACAAGGTAGAATGGTGGTGCAGAGTCTCATAACCAAACTTACAACACCTAGAAGTTTTGAAGCAGGAGCCAGGAACAAATGCAAATTGTCATTGAACTAGCAGGCAGGGAGTTTAGACCATATAATCTTTTGAGCATGCAAACCAATCTATAACTGATTCAGTATTTGCTCTCTTATTGTTGTTGGTAATTGAGGATGTACAATTTTTATTAGAGCTGCTTATTTACCTCGCTACTACATGACTGGGATGCTGAATACATGTCAGGCATGTACTGAAGTTGAATTCAAGAAAAGCATGAATTTCCTATAAAAACAGATAGCAAGAAGCATATTCCTTGTCATTGCCATTCTTCAGAACATCATTAGAGGCACTACCCTACTAGTAAGTAGATCATGAACCAAAGATAGATAACTCAAAAGAAGAGGAAACAAAAAGATGAAGTGGAAAATTTATATCATGATTTTTTCTACAACAAATGCAGAAAATATTTTTTGTCAGATTATCTGATACCAAGATGTGTGTTAACTGCCAAGCATTTAGATGTGGAAGAGAAGATACCCCATCAACTATTCTCACCTAGATATCTGTCTACAGTATAATCTATGTAGGTCCATACTATGAAGTAGATCATGAACCAAAGATGGATAATCAAAGAAGAGAAAAGAAATGAAGTGCAAAATTTTTATCATGATTTTTTCTACAACAATCACAAAATATTTTTGTCAGATTATCTGATACCAAGATGTGTGTTAACTGCCAAGCATTTAGATGTGGTAGAGAAGACRCCCATCAACTATTCTCACCTGGATATCTGTCTACAGTATAATCTCTGTATAACATGGACTGGAATTGTTCAGTCTATTGATCATTTGTTGCACCATCATATATCTATTTGATGCATTGTTTTGCCTAAACAATGTCCATGCTCTTTGATAGTTTTTTCTCCTCTTTGCTTCACTATATTTCCTTATTGCATCGTTATGGTGTCCCATTTTGAGACCTCTTTCCTTTGCAATATTTCCAATCTGTGACAATTTTTTCTTCACGTTGTATATACAGATTCTGAGGATGGTTGCGATATCAGTGAAAAATGTTGGGTCATACTGTATGTTTTACCTTGCTGCTGCAGTATCTGATTTCTATGTTCCATGGGAAAGCATGGTAAGAATTTCTGTTAGGTTAGCTCTCGGAAATTATAAAATTTCATATATTCAATAAATTTTAACTTGGATTAAGCTTCATATACCAGCATATATATAGGAATCTTCATATTTTTCCTACCATTTTGTTTAACGATTTCATAACTTTGCCATCAAGCAGGCAGAACACAAAATTCAATCAGCATCTGGTCCTCTAGACATGCGTCTTGCTCAGGTTCCAAAGATGCTCTCAGTTCTCAGGAAAGAATGGGCCCCTATGGCATACTGTATATCTTTCAAGGTTACAAATCTTATGCCTCAATAAGCTTATTCAATTTAGAGTTTCATGGTTGTTTGAAAGGGATAGTATCTGTGATGAGAACTCCAAGAGCTCCAATCATATTGATACAAGAAATAAAGTGCAAGATTGCAATAAACCTTAGAAAAGAATGGAGTAATATTTAACTAAAAAAGAATCATCTTTAGGGTTTATGGGGCAAATTAGTTCTCTCTTTTTTGTTACTTTTTCTCACATCAAGAAACCATGAGGGTAACTTAATTACACGAGAAAAAGTTTAGAGATTTCGTGCATTTATTGGAAGGTTGAAGGAAATCTAAAATTAGGATATCACAAAACACAATATTCTAGCAAGAAAACCAGATAACTAGTTTCCTGATGTTCTATGTGGACTGAAGGTTAATGTCTTTGTTAAATTTCAAAATTTCCTTTAAACACCTCTTTTTCTTCAATGAACTGCATGGCTTTTTAATGGATATTTTTGCAGTTTCTTAGACTTGTTATTAGCTAGTTTCCATACATATTCAGAAAGATAACAAAATTATGAAAGTGTACACAAAACACAATTTAGAGAATTGATTTCCTCCCTTCCTTGACTGACAGCTGGAAACAGATCCAAAGATCTTATTGGAGAAGGCAGATATGGCCCTAAGGAAATACAAGATGCATGTGGTAATCGCCAATGAGCTTTTGACTCGTAAAGAGGAAGTTGTAGTTGTCACAAGCAATGAAAGGATTACTGTTCATAGAGATAGTAACGAGGCTGATGCTGATGTAGAAAGTCCATTAATCAAACTTCTTGTAGAAAAGCATTCGGCATACATCAAGGAAACAGGAACTTCAAATTAAACAGCATAGTTATGGTACTAAAGAAGTTTTAGGGTCTGTTTTATTACATCTTGGAGTAATATGGCGGGTCATCGTCATCATCATCTCTGATTTGGCTTTCCTTCTAGTCTGAAGTTAAAAGAAATGAAAGAAATAAAGGGAGAAATGAAAGGAACAAAAGTTGTATAAAGATATCAAGATTCAGTAGGAACACAATCGTTTTTCAATCAATAGATGGTGAACAGTGCATGGAGCAACAATTTTTCTCCATTATTGGAGTTATTTCTTACACACAATTTGGGTTATTAGAATGGTATTACTATAATGGCACTGAGTCCTTGTAGGACAGTTTCGGATCTCAGATTGTCCGCTCCATTTCGTGCCCCAGGTCTAATCCGGGAAAATCACGGTGAAAATTCCACTTGGTTAGACTCAGTCGTCTAATTGCTAATGTTACAAACATCCTTTGAGCTTCCAACCAACCAAAAGAATGAAATGATCTGATGGCCAGTAATTGATTTTTACTCTTCACATGCTATTATTGTATTTCAGTCAGTCGACCAAAAGAATGCAAAAGTGGATGGTTAACGTCTTAGTGGCCATTCCATTAGTGAATTGTAAACTGTTAAAGTATCTCAACTGAATGCAAAAGTGGACCAATACACACGACACTACTGTGGACAAAACTGTCTATACCCATAGGAGCGTTCTGCAGGTGTATTGTGATTTGTCTACACTATACTAATTGATTCTATAAATCTCATGCAAGGTTTAAAAATTTGATACGATATGTCCGATACGGGGTGTATCGTAATGTATCTTTGAAAAAATACGGGATACACATGGAAATCATGTATCTCGTCTTTTTTCATGCATATTGGACTCATATTGGGGGCATATCGGGGTGTATCAGTAGTGTATTGATGAAAAATATATGGCCAAAAACTAGAAAAAAATAAAGGGGAAAGCAAACATATTTCCCTAAAATAAGCTTTCTTTCACTACTAATAAAAAAAATATGCTCTTTCGCCCCCCAAATGACTCTAAAACTTCAAACATCATTCCTAGAGTGCTAGATTTGCAAAAAATTGCAAGAAACAAGTGTGAATCATTAATTTTTTAAATTTTTAAAAATAAATATGGCAAAAATAGGTAAATTTTTCAATTTTTTATAATATTGTGTGATTTCTTTTTTTTTTTTTGAATGTTTGAATTTATGTTGATCTACATTTCTTACATTTAGAATCACAATTTTTTTTTGTGTTATCAGTAGATTTATGGAAATTTCATGAAGATATTTGGGGAAAATATAAATTAAAAAATACAATTTTTTCTCTGCCTATAAATACTAAATATGTTTTAGATCTATGGATTTATTTATCATATCCATAGAGCAATTGAAATTTATTCTTTAATTTTATTTTGTTTTTTTATATTTTTAGAATTAAAAAATAAATAATAATTAATTATATTTTATCATTTAATCACAAAAATTGAATATATTATAATTCTATGGATGATCTATCAAATCCACAACCCAATTGAAATTTCTTCTTTAATAATTATTTTTTATTTTTAAAATTAAAAAATAAATAATGAATTAATTATATTTTATCATTTGATCACAATGGTTGAATATATTATAATTCTATGGATGATCTATCATATCCACAAAGCAATTGAAATTTCTTCTTTAATAACTATTTTTTGAATATGTTATATAATGTTTATTTATTTTTATAATTTTTGGAAATAAATCATTATTAATTATATTTTCACTTAGGAGTTTTGTCAAGCATGTGTTATGGTTGGATATGAGAGTTGGGTTTTTCCCATCCCATAAAATATTAAAACTTGAGAATTATAGTTAAGCATAGGATTTTTAATGAAACTATAATTAATTACAATATATTTCTTCATAAAACCATTAAAATATATTAATTTAATGTATATACACCTATTGAAGTCTTATATTTAGTTTTATTGATGTATTTTTATGATTTATTAAAGTATTTATCAAGATTTTAAAAACTGACCCGGAAACGGAACCATTCTAGCCATCGATTTCTGGGTCAGCGGTTCGACTGTTTGGGTCAAACGGTTCAAACAATTTGAGCATCTTACCCATTAGATTGGAATATTAGGGTAAGATGCATACTATATAAGAAGGTTGAAATTTGAAAGAAAATTGTCGATTGAACTGAAAGAGTTTAGAAGAAGTAGAAGAAGAAGAAGAAGAAGAAGAAGAAGAAGAAGAAGAAGAAGAGGAGGAGGAGGACTTGCAGGCTTGCAGCGGCGACGACGACGGCAACGGCGATGGCGAACTACATCGGCGGCGTTCTCAGTCTCAGATCTCACTCTCTCTCTCACCTTCTTGCACGAGAAAGACAGATTTGAGATTTCTCAGTCTTAGATCTGAGATTTCTCATATTTGATATCTGAGCAGCAAACCGTTCTTCAAGGTGGACGGTTTATCGATCAAACCGTCCAGGTCAACGGTTCGTTGACTAATTCAACGGTTTTTGACCAAATGCCAGGTTTGGGGTAAAACGGAACCGATCGCTTAAACGGTTTCCGGTCTGAACGGTCTAACCATTCGGGTCAATGACGGTTCAAAAACATTGGTATTTGTAGTGTTTCCAAGCATTTCTATGCATATCTTAGTTTTTCTCCAATACGCATGTGTATCCAAAGCGTATCTTGATACATCTCTTAAAATTGTATTTTCGATACTTTGAACCTTGATCTCATGTACAACTTATGAGATAATTTACACAATCGATCATGTAGGGGTGCAAATGGATCGAATCGGACCTTGATTTGAATCCAATCTGATAGCAGAATACAAGATCTGATCAGATCTGATTCGATTCGATCCGAAGATCCGATTGGATTTCGCTAATGGTGATTCAAATTTGAATCCATTAAGGATGTCAGATATCTTAATCTAATCCGAGTTGTTTCAAATTATGAAAAATTTAATAAATTATTAAAAGAAAAAACAAAAATGTGTATATAAAGAAAAACAAAAAAATATAAGTATTTTTCAACTATTTTCATCATATATATTAATATATACATGTCTTTTTTACAAAAAAAATTACAAAAAATGCAATACAAACATATTTATAAATAAATATATTAATACATACATGTATTTTTATAAGTAAATATGTTTATAAATATATACATATATAGGTTGGATCGGATCCTATCGGACCGAATAGGGGTGATCTGAATTCCGATTGGATCCGATCCATTTGCACACCCATGTGATCATGAATGAAAAGAAAAAACCACAATTTAATCCAAAAATAATTTGAAATAATAATATAAAATAATAATAGATAAAATAAAACACCAATACGTAATTACTAACAAATATATTTATCATTATAATATTAACTTCAATAATAAATAGTTTAAAAATAATTTTAATATAAATTAAAATATATTAAAAGATTAAATAAAATGAGGATAGTTGGACTAGTGTTAACACACATGCATTACACTAAATCCTTCCCACAAATTGTTTAGATCATAGTGTGGCTCATCCATGAGAAAATATTGTGCGTGATAAATTGGGGTGTGATCCGTCCCTGTCCATGCTATTTTGTGGACGAGTACTGTTCACACAAAGCAGAACACCACATTCTATCATGGACAGGACCAAAACAGTATTGTCCGTGATACTTTCACACTATCGAACACCCTCTAAAGCTTCCATTAGGGAGCTCACTACCTCTTTAAAGAATCATTCACTAAGACCCCATTTGATTCACGAGAATCCAATTGTTTGATTGAATGAAATTGGGATGTAGCCCATCCCTATCTACGCTATTTTGTAGAGGGCACCATCCACACAAAGCAAAACACCACATTCTATCATGGATAGGACTATAACAGTCCCATCCATGATATTTTTCACGAGATCGACTTCAGTTAGTGCAAGATCTGTTTGAACACAATTCAAACAGCCTTTATAGCCTTGCATTTATAATACCTCCGTACTTCTGTGCTTTATTTCATGGGAGATATTCCCAATGCAAAATTAAAAAGACTATTGGAACGGAACTTGCATTGACTGAATCCAATTTCATTTTTCACACTACCAAACACCATCTAAAGCTTCCATTAGGGAGCTACTTTAAAGAATTATTCACTAGGCCCCATTTGGTTCACAAGAATCCAATTGTTTGGTTGAGCAAAGTTGGAACCCCATTCCCATTCCTGCTGGAATGGCATTTCCTCATTTGAAGGAATGGTCATTCATTATCCCTCCCTTAAGAATAAAATCTGATTCCAACCGCAAACCAAACAGACCCTAAAAAAGAAAGCAATAAGTCCTTCGGTTCACCCGCTTACCTATTCTCCTTGTATGATTACGGGATCTTGATTTTTCAGAGTAGTACTGCAGAGGAGAGAGAGATCTTTCTAAAGTATCCAGAAAGAATAATATATACAGTTGTGTACAACAGGAATATGAATCACCCACCAGAAACACCATATTTCTTGGGGAGCCAAATCCATGGAAGTGCTTATTTACAATAGGAACCAATATTCAGCAAATAGTCTACAATGTATCATCATCTGTATCAAGTTCAAGCCCTTCTGCAGCTAAAAGCTGAGAAATGACCTTTTTCTTTTCATCTTCTGCCTTTTTCCGCATTAGATCCCTTTTCTTGAGGACCAGTGTATGTCGCCTAAGAGTATTTGAGAAATTCTCCATAGATGCCTTTTTCTCTTTTGCCAGGATCCTCCTCTCTTCCTCTGGATCAATCTGTTATACCATCCAAATCATAAATTTGATGTTAGAACTTAGAAATAATAGCACAGAACCATGAAAAGAATTAAAAGTATAAAAGTAACCGTGGCTGTACATGAGAACAAAACCTTGAAGGTAATCCTAGGTTTAAGAGTTTCACAAAGTAAAAGCCATAATGGGATCACTTGGAAGGCACACATCGACACCAAATGATTGGAGCTAATCAGGTATGCAGAACTTGGCAAGTCCTACTTAAAACACCAAAATCTAAAATTTAGGCTGTGTTTGGATTGAAGGAAAAAGTAGGGAAAGGTTTCCCTACCTTTCCCTTCGTTTCCTTACCTTTTCCTTCAAACCAAACATAGCCTTATTGTATTCGCATGATTAGAAATAAACAAAAATAAGTGGGTCTGCCTTATTTTCTCATAAATGTCAAGATTCATATAAATTAACAAACTAAGATTTTTATCAGGCACCATCTAACTTTTCTCTCAGATCATAAACATGTGGACCAGATATTGACCCATTTATGATTAGGTCCAAGGTTTTGAACCCAGACCCTGCTAATCCAGCCGCATGGGGAATCAGATACCCATTGCCATTGGTATCAGATTACTTGCTTTGCAAGTGACAAGCAAAGAAGCTCAAGAAACCCCATAGGAATTGATAGTTAATCCAATTTATTTCAATCGATTTATAGCCAAATATCTATTTGGTCCTTATGCATGTCCTTAATACACCTAGATATGGTGGAAGACCACCCCTCCATATCTCACATCTTGCAGATCAATGGCATTACTTTGAATATTACAACTCTCTTTTTTAATAAATCCCTATTAATCATCTTATTGGTGAAGAAAGAAAATATCAAACTGTGCAGAATTTATATTCTTCTTATTGTGTGAATGAAATGTTACCCATTAAGTGTTCTCATGGCAAGATCATCCATGAACAGGTAAGCATTTAAGAAAAATTCAATACCTTTGAACGAGAGAGACGTCGTGCACGAAGATTCATCTCACGCTGCTGCATCTCAGCCCAAGCTGAAATCGCCATATCACCACGCTGATCAAAAGCCTTTCGTTTTTTAATAAGCCACTCCATCCATGCTTGAGAAGCCTGACAGAACAGTAGCAAACAAATGAGGCTACTGAGTCCACAATGAGAATAAACAAGAACCAGCCAATGGTTAGAGCCTTCGCACAATTCTAAATCAACTTGCCTACAATCATAGTTTTCAAGGTTCTGAGGCAAGGCTAAGCAATAGGGGATGCCTTGTTACCCAGTTGCCTATGCAGACACCTAGGCGTCACCTAGGTGATGGGATTTTTTTTAATAAAAACCATGAATGCAAGGGTAATTCCCTAGGTTCCATGGCAAGCAATAACCATCTTTCACTATTAATTGTTTAAAATCTTCTAAATAATGTATAGACTTCATTTACAACATAGAAAATCAACACATTCATGGAAGTTACCTTTTCTCAAAAGAAAAAGAAAAGAAAAGAAAATCAACATATTCCATAAAAAGATGGAATAAAGAAAAGACATTTCAAAAACTAAAGGGGCTGAGCCTCTATTTTTGCCCTAGGGAAAGAAGAAAAGAAAAGAAAGGATGAAATTTTGAGTTCTTCCATGCTTATTATTTAAGGTTTTGAAGTCTTCGAGGGTTCAAGAGTCAAGACAATATACATCTTGATTGAACCCTAATAAATAATAAAAATAATAAAAAGAAACTAGTATTTTAACTTAAACTAAATAATTTAGTTTAATAATGTCTGTTTTATTTAATGTAATCTCAGAATGTTAACAATATAAAAGTATACAACAACTCTGTGTAAAAATATCTTGGTGATTAAGTGAGGCAACCCTCTAGGCCTCCATGAGTGTTTTTAGGAATGGAGCGGGCTGGAGCCGGGATGGGTAGCCACTCCCCATCCCCATCCCTGTCCCTGTCCCTGTCCCTGTCCCCACCAACGGGGACAAAGCTTTCCCCATCCCCACCTTTTTTATGAAGCCAACTTCATTTTATTTTTTATTTCATTTTCATTTACAATCCTATCAAAAAGATCCAAATATATTCAAACATATTCAACCATATTTAAAAAAAATAGTAAAATAGTATATAATATTATTACTAAGCGGAGATCCTCGTGGGGCGAGCATCGGGGACCCTGTGGGGTGGGGAGAGCTCCCCATCCCCACCAACAGAGATGGAAATTTCTCCATCCCAATCCCCGTGGGAGGAAAATCATCCCCAGCCCCATTCAGGGTGGGTCCCCACAAGGATTAGGGAAATGGAGAAAATTGCCATCCCTAAGCGCCTCATCACCATTGTTTGTGTTTTATTGGAGGATAGAAAGTAAGTGTTATGCCATGTCCAATGTAGGTAATTTGGATAAAATGAAGGATCCATGCTAAGGGTTCAGTAGCTAGCCAGCTACGCAATAATGCTTAGGAGAAAATATCAGCTAAGCTTTTGACAAAAATTAAAAGAAATCCTTAAACAAAATAACTAGTAGTCTAATCATATTGGCTAGTGCTATCTAATGATCATCAAAATTGATGTGAAAAATAACCAAAAGTTACCAGTTACCTTCAATGGATTGACACGATGATCATTGTCATATTGTCTTCGCTTTTCCTCGTCTATGAGCAACTCATAAGCTGCTTGAATCTTAATGAACCGACTTTCAGCCGTTTCCCCTTCCTCGAGAGTCCCCCTTCCATCATACACTTTGAACAAGGAAAACGATCTGATAATGACTTAAATGTTGATGCAAACACAGTAGCAGATATCTGAAGTTGAGACCTAACTTATTACCTGGTTTGGCCCCCAGTCCAGGTATAGGTCATTTCAATGCAATGTTTATACAATTGTAAGTTACAGAGTTCAATGCAAAAATGACTTCACTCAATGTGGCTCTCTAAACTTCATAATTTAAAGTATGTAATTGCATTCTGCATCACTTTGAACAGAGTCCAATAGTAAGTTTCCCACTGTTCATCTCATATGAGCCCCAAGCTAGCAAAACCATGACTAGACAATCCTGAGCTCCTCACCCAAATCCTGGCACAAGCCTAAGCCCCAATTAATAGGGGGATAAGACCTGACCAAACTGGGAAAAGGACTGACAAGATCAACTTTCAGACATTCTACGAAATTGCAAAAGCATTGCAATATAGGAAAGACCCAACCTAACTGGGAAAAGTGATGGTGAGATTAGCTTTAGGCATTCAATAGCATTGCGATACCAACAAAATATAAGGGAACAATTATGGACCACCCAAGGAAGTTGCTTCTCTCACCCCTGCAAAGACCAGCTTATACAGTATAGACATCCCACAGCATTGCTATACCAATCAAATTTGCAGAACAATTAATGTCCTATACCATAACCTACATATAAAAGGCCATTACACAATGTTGATCCCAACCATCTGGGGTCTTGGGAAGGGTGGACTGGATAAGTGCCTAACCCTTTGGCTTTCTTAGAAAAGGACCTTGTTCAACAGACCCTATCCACATTAAATTCCAATACCATACCACTTTCTCTTAACAATGATATACGTTTATTTTGTACAAAAAGTACAACATCATATGGAATTCACATTTTAAAAAAGGCTGGATTAAGATTAAGAAACAAACCATCTGGGTGATAATATTTCGCTAAGCGTCTGTAAGCAGACTTTATTTTCTCTTCATCAGCATCCCTTTCCAGCACTGAGTTAAAAAACAAAAATGACAAGAAAATGTTTTAAATATTTAATCACCATCAGTTTACAATGAATCAAATAAGAAGAAGAAGTCTTCTAAGTGTGAAAAGAAAACAAAAAAGCCCCATCAATGTGACAAATTACATGCAGGCAAATGTGTATGTGCACATGCAACTGTATGCAGATACGCATACGATGACAAAGAGGTTTATTTCTTGAGAACATAACTTTATTTGTAAATATTGAATAAGTATAAGATCTTTGAGTGTAGAATGCAAGAAAGCTAGAGAAAAATGTTGATAAAGACAGGAGATAATATTTATTTATTAACAAGGCGAGAATTCAATATGCCTCATTACTATAGTTAATCTGACGCTATTTTCCACATGAAAACATCAAATAATTTGAGGAACCATTAAATCTATTACAACTCTACATGAAAATATTTTCAGTTGAGGAATAAAGATAGGGTTATGATGAAAATTTACCAAGAGTTTCATACGGAGATTTCTCATCAGTCCATTTCGTCGCCCTAACGAGTGTTCTCCTGGAATTCACACGGTACGCTGAATAGTTTCTCAGAACATCGGAGGTATCAAACCAAGGAGAGAACGATGATAGGGAAGAAACCCCAGATTTATAGCTGCAGTTGTTTCGAAAAGGGAGAGCTAATCGAGCTTGGTTTCTGCAACACATGAAGGAAGAGAATACCATGTGAGGCCGACATATTGCTCTGAGACTGCTCATCTTCTCTTGCGTTCCCGAAAAGAGATGGAGACTCAGAGAAGCGATCGAGAAGTGAATCGATTTTTCTTCCTTATTCACATGCAGAAGGAAATTTTGAATCTGGATTGCAAATTCTGAATTTTATACGGGGGATTTTCTGTTCTTTTTTTTTTTCTGTTTTACCGGGAAATATCAAATATGTGGATGGTTTCTTGTTTGAGTTTTGCTTCAGTGACAGTTGGAGTATAGCGGCTTTTCTACCAGTTCTACCCATAATTTCCGTTGAATTTACAAAGGGCCACTCTCCGTTTGTTTGGTTAGTTCCACACTTCCATGGCGGATGGCTTTACATCGGCGCTCAGGGGGAGTCCGGCACCATACTCGCACCGTTCGCGCAACATGAGGACGCGCCACGCGTCTTTTAATTCCTGCGTTGATTTAATACGTGCGAAATGAATTAAAAGGAGACTATCCTTCGTGCGTTTGCTTTTCTCATTAGTTCCATTCCACCTGCAGCTCGAGATTCATCGGACCCTGCCGTCGCCGGTCATTCTCACTCTCTTCCTTTCCAACCGTGGCGATTAACAGCCATCACCGGCAACCCCTCAGGTATTTTGGACTCTATCATGATAGAAGTCGGATTGTTATCACCGGTGACTAATAAAAGCCGGACTCCTATCAATCTCAGAATGGTTGAGGACAACACTGTCAATTCACTTCCTAAGCCCGAGTGGGATCAAGGTGATGACTGAGGAGTAGAACCCGAGGTGAATGAGGTTCTAGGTTTGAAATCCAGGTCCGGGGTCCAAGGTCTACTATCTCCGAGAACTAGCAAGGCGATTCTACAAAGACAAAAGAGTGTCAGAGGCCTCAGGTGAAGACCTAAGGCGGAGACTCCGACGATTAAGTTAGTATTGAGGTACGAGGTGCGAGCCCCCAAACAAAGTAACAAGAGAATAAGAGATCTCAAGTGCTAGTGACAGAGTCTTGAGTGTTCGATCCTTCCCTTTGTTAGACAGTGTATGCCCTTAGCTCCAATCAGAATGATGTACATTATAACATTTATTGTAAATGAATAAAATACATATTTGATTCATGTTATTATGGTGTGTTTCTGTGTAATACCCATAAACTGGACACATATGAGACTCGTGTTATTTTAGAATCTTCACACTCGTGTTATTTTAGAATCTTCACAGCCGTTGGATAGATCTGGAGAGATTTATCCTGCCAAGGCTGACACTGATGTGTCGCCAAGTTGGTTGGGGTGGCTTATCTCAGCTGCCAGGGTGAGACCTGAGGTACATGCAGTGTGGGGTTTCTTGAAACCCTGAACCAAATCAAAATTCCAGTATTGCCTTCGACCTTGGAGATTGATAGGCAAAACTGGAATGTTACACCTGACCCCTAGACTTGATTATGATACTGCACTAGGTGTCGGATTGGGCTATCTTTGATATGCCAATCAGTGAGATCCTTAGAGGGGGTAAAAACCTGGGTATATTGGGACAGTCCGAGAGTTCATCTGAGTGGGTAATTCCCCGGATCCATGTGAGTAGAGAGTGTAGCACTGTTCCTTCCAACCGAGGGAAATGTTCTCTCTTGTCGGGCAGTGTTTGATCATTATGGGCTGAGGGGTTAAGTGTAAAACCATTGAGGGTAATGGCTGATGGGCTAATCTTGCATTTGCCCATAGTCCTTGGGTTTTTATAAGGTAGCTTGACCTAGGGACCATTTAGTGTAAATGTTGGGCCCATTAAGAGCCCATGGTGATGGGCTCAGGGGTTCACTATCACCTACAGTGAATTCGGCCAGGCCTTGTAACAGAGGCTGGGCTGAACCCATGTGGTTGATGTGTAGATCAATGCTTGGGTCCCACGTCATACAAGGATACCCAACTGGGCAGTAGTTTGGAGGATAAGAGAGCACATGGACTTAATGGGCCTAAAGCACAATTCGAACTGGTTTAATATGATTAATTAAAGAGGGGTGGTTCTGGAATTTAGATCAACAGATAGGATAGGGAGTTATCCTTATCCACTCAGAGAGTCCAGATCCAAATAAAGATTTGGATTAGGAAATTCCTAATGAAATTAGGAGGGCTGATCTTTATCTGTAGATAAGATAAGGGATTATCCTTATCTCTTAAAGAGAGTCAAGATCCAAATGCAAGATTTGGATTAAGAAACTCCTAATAGGATTAGGAGAACCTCTCTTTAAGGCTACAAATAGAGGAGGAGGGTGAACCCCAATTCACCCCAAATCAAATTACAAATTCAAGAGAGAAGACAACTGTAGTTGGACTAATGCCATCTTCTGCTCTTGCCTTCTCCTATTGTTGCCGCCATAGCCAGTTCGATCTCCACCTATAGGAGCGATCAAGAAAGGTTCTTGATATCAGTTTTTGGAGAAAAACTGATCTGAAGTCGTGCTCACTCACCCTCAATCGGATTCTTGGTAAAGAATCAGGTTCTTGCTGATCTCCTTGGGCGTGAACACCTTCATTGGGAGTTACTACTACTCTGTATCAGGTATATCCCTCTCCTTCCTTTTTGTTTTCAGATCTAGTCTGGTTTAGGTTCAAGATTGATCCTTGAAAATGCAACTTTCTAAAATAGGGAATGTGATTCCCACATGGGAGAGAGAAATTTTTGAAATTTCACCCAACCTACATGTAGGGTTCAGCTATCCATATGATGGATCTCTCATCCCTTCAGTGGTATCAGAGCTAGGTTCAAATCTTGAACTGAATTGGATCAAATCTGAACCTGCACAAATGGGCAGAAGGCGTTCTACCCGATTTGCGCAAATAAGAGATTTTCTGGGAAATCGGTTCCCAGATTAAGGGCGATTGGTCTGAAATTAAATCTAATTTATATTTAGAATTGTTCTTTATATTTATCTTGATTTATGGGTTGTTCGTACGATCGAGATCGTCTCCTTGATTGGCGCAAGAAATCTGCGCTTTGCAGTTCTTTACATTCTGGTATGTAATTAATTTTTTTATTTTCTAGACTGAATGTATAGGAATTCGATCTGATGTAATTTTAATAGAAAATTAGGTTTTTTTTTTTATTTCAATCAAGATCGAAGCTGATTGCACAGAAGGAAGGATTTTCGCAGATTAGGGTTCGCCCATCTGCGATTTGCAATTTGAGAAACTACAAGCTGTGAACTAACCTCTGTTTTGCATGGTAGCAGGTCTGCGAATTGCCCTAGTACTGATTCTTGAATGTCTTTTATCAGTAACTTAATTTCAGATCAATTCTTGAATTAAAAATCAAACCCTAGACCCATTCGAACTAGATTGGACCGAATCTATGGTTCGATGGGGGCTATTCTCAGCCCTAATTTTTCACTCTTGGATCAAGGGATTGATAGTTAATTGCAAGATCTAATTCGACCCATACTTGTAAAGCCCAGTTTTAATGTGTTAAAACTTCTTAAGCCCATTAACTGCATAAAAGCTATATGGGCCGAACTACTCTTTGCTATTCAACCCATATACCTAGATAATATTAATCAGTAATATTATGAATCATTATGGGCTTTAATAATGGGTTTTACATATATTAATTGATTGGATCAATTTTATCCCTACATGTGATGTATGAATGTGTGATATGCAACGTTCATGGGCCATAAGTACTTGGCCCATACTGATACGATAGTGGCTCTTGCGCACACCATGGCTGAATGCACATCATTGCCATGGTGTCCCTAAAGATCATTGGATGATCCTCCTTTTGTGATGGGCCCCACACCTCCTCAAGAGGAACCGTGTGGATCCCTCGCCGTTTAAGGCCCACCGAAATCTGGCTTATGAAAGTCAGTGGGAGCCACTTTGGTTTGACCTAAATTAAATTAGGGCGTAACTTTTGTTCCCTCCTGAAATATGAGTGCATGTGATAGTGAGATTCATATGATGAACTCTCTAAAGGCCTTCCATCATTAGCATGAAGATGGGTCCTTCAGTATTGAGGAAACACACCATAAAATTGGGCTATCCATTTGCTGCTGGATCTGTTGGAATGTTTCATAAGATGATAAGGGTGTCATAGACCGATGTGGAAGGGGCCTATCCTAAAATGGAAGACTCTCTCATGGTACCTTGGCGTTCACGAATATGATGGGTGAGCACTCACTGAACAGAAATGTTTAACCTAAAATGGCAATGAACCTTGTCTGATAGAGGCCAAAGGAAAAACTCATACGATGAGTTTAATGACCCTTCACAGAAAGGTGGTGGGGTTATGTAGCAAAAACAGTTGGCTCCATGCACCTTATGTGATTTCCCACATTTTCAGAGACATAATTCGTAGTCTCCGAAACAGAAATAGGGGGGAAATCTCATAGATGAATAAATGGAAATGTAACATAGATTAAAAGCCATATCATTGCTTCCTTGGATAATCCCTAGCCCGCTGCTATATCATTACTTCCTTGGATAATCCGATATAGCGACAGTTTGATCAGATTGAATTGTCCAAGGATATATTGGATAGTCTGAGAACAATGTGTGAAGAGTAGAATCGTTTTACTCGGTAGAAGGTCTTGAAACAGTTCATGACCGTGCAGATGTCCTGGTGGGTATCCTACCAGTTCATAGCACTGGTCCTTGGTTTCCACGTGTTTTTCACGTGTTTCTCACACTTTATGTCAGTGGCTTAGTTAATGGGTCTGCTACATTTTCCGCTGATGCTACCTTCTGAATTAGGATGTCCCCTCTTCCAACTATCTCCCGCAGTACATGGAACTTCCTCTCGATCTTCGACTTCGAGTGGGCTCGTGGCTCCTTAGCTTGAGAAATAGCTCCAGTGTTGTCACACAACAATGCAATGGGTGATGTGCTGGATGGAACTACTCCCAATTCGTGAATGAACTTCTTCATCCATACGACTTCTTTGGCAGCTTCACTTGCAGCAATGTATTTGGCCTCGGTATTGGAATCCGCCGTGGACCCCAATTTGCTGATTTTCCAGCAAACAACACACGATCCTATCACGAAACATATCCAGATGTAAAAACATATCCAACTGTGGGCAGATGCAAGATTAGCCCATCAAGCATTACCCTCAATGCTCTTACACTTAACCTCTCTGTACATAATGATCAAACACTGCCCAACAAGAGAGGACCTCTCCCTCGGCTACAAAGAAGAGTGCTACACTCTCTACTCACATGGATCCGGGGAATTAAAACCTTTTGCAAACATTTTGCAACCATAATATATATATATATATATGTATATCTCTATATAAATATATTTTGCCAAACAAATTTCAAC